TTTAGGATTTAGGGTTGAGGGGTTTAAGGGAAAATCGGATTTGGGGCTATGGGGTGTAGCAGCATGGCCTCTCATAGATGCACGAAGGAGAGCGGTGCTGGAGGCGGCATCCTGTACGTCGATGTAAGCGCGAGCCCGCAGCAGCAACCGTGCCACCTCAGCTCTGCCTGGCAGCGGTGTAGGGTTTTAGGGTTTAGGGTTTAGGGTTGAGGGTTTATTCCCAGGATAAGCACCAAACCTTAAAGCTCTGACTAGTAGAACGGAACCCTGAATGGAGGACCCTTGCTACTAGCAGAAGCCTTAGTACCAGGAACACTGAATGGAGGACCCTTACTACAAGAAAACCGAGTTCAAGTACCCCCTAGTTAATATTAAGCGCCCCAAAACCCTTAAATCACTAAACCCTAAACCCTCAACCCCTAAATCCGTAAACCCGAAGCCCTCAACCCCAAAAACTCACTCCAGCCTCGCTCCGCGCAGCGGATCAAGGCCGTGGCTCCACCTTTATCTTGCCTGGGTTCCTGTTAATTCGGGCTTATAAGGTTCAGGGTTTAGGGTTTAGGGTTTAGGGTTTAGTGTATAGGGCTCAGGGGGCTCATGTTAAGGAGTGTAACAGATGGTGCCAGTGGAAGTCATCAGATCCAAACCTATGACGTTTACGTGCATATGTGCACGTAGATTTAGATCTATCGAGATGTTGATTATTCATGTATGTATGATTATTCATAGATAAAAATATTATATATGTACATGTATACACACACATATGTATATGTATGTATACACATGTATACATAGACATGTACGCACTGTACCTGTTGTTGTAACTTGCTAGACTCGACTTTAAGTCTGGACCAAGAGCCGAGTTGCAGGTTCTTGTCCACGCCGGCCTCCAGAAGCCAACGAACGGTTTCAACGTGGCCGCTCTCAGCGGCACGAAGAAACGTATCCTAGGTGTCGATTTCAACAGTCCCCAAAATACGTATAACTGTCTATATTTTACTGTAAGGGAGATGAACATTTATCCCAAATCCATGCCTAGTATCTTCCCGGTCTGCGACGGCACCAGCTTCCAGCAACAAAAGCCTGGGTGCTTGTGAAGGAACTTGTTTTCGTTACCATAGTAGGGATCCAAAGTAAATAGTATGGTTTCCCTGAAACGGTTTCCCTGCTGTAGTAGTTTGGATTGAACTCCTTAACAAGAACCCAGAAGCACAATATCAAAGTGCCCGTGTCTCGCTGCACAATCAATGCTTCCCGAACTGTTGGCGCCAGCTTCCAGCAGCAAAGCCACAGTCTGCTTGTGGCCATTCTCAGCCGCACGCAGTATGGCTGTTTTGGAGTACTTGTCTTTCTGATCATAGTCGACACCAGCTTGCAAGAGCAGGCGAACTATGTCAACGTGGCCGTTCTCAGACGCACAAAGGAGGGATAGCTCACGCGCTTTATGGGCACCCACTTCCAGTAGCAACTGTACGACGTCTACCTGGCCCTGTGCCGATGCCTGAACGAGAGCTGTTCTGGAACAAATGTCATCTGCATCCGCGTTCACTCCGGCTTCAAGCAGCAGGCGGACCACGTCAACGTGGCCCTTCTCAGCTGCACGGAAAAGAGGGGTTCTGCGGAAGTGATCTGTCACAGCACTGTCAGCGCGAAACTGCAGCAGCAAGCGTACAATCTCTGCATGGCCCCTGTCAGAAGCTGCTAAGAGAGCTCCGTTGCAAAAGCTGCCCTTCTCTTTTTTTACAGTGACCGCTTGAAGTAACAGTTCTGCGATCTCTGCATGGCCCTCTTCCTCAGTTCTTGTTATCAAGGTAAGTGGCTTCTGTGGTTATTGTTATTGAGTTTGCCACAAGAAGGACAGAACCACCAGAACCACAGTGGATAGCCCACTTCCGGCAAGCTTAGGTTAAGCGCCTCAACAAAATTCTACGCCGCTGAAAGCATGTAAAACCCGCAAAAACCAGTCGGTTTAGGGTTTAGGGCCTATAGGGTTTCGGGCTTAGGGCGAAAAACATCACTATACGAAGCTTGACTTTTTGAGCACACCCTGAACCCGAATTATAAGCCCCCGAAGAATAATCGATGCTGTTCTTGAGGGTCCCGTATCATTAAAGGAAACTACAGGTGGGGGAGTTTAGGGTATCTAGGGCTTCTATAATCTATAAGGCTTCTATAAGGTATATAGACCTTCCATACGGCTCCTGTAACGGTAACTACCCACCTGAAAATGTCCTAGATATCAAAGTTACAGCAGATGATGCCCAACGCCTTACTCTAATCATCAAGGCCCTCACGTTAAGCCTAGAACCGATCACACGAAGCCAGCTTCCTTGGGTTCCTGTCGGGGCTATATTAAAAAATGATCATTCTTAATCCTTATTGGGCTTTATTGTAACAAAAAATGTAAAAAAAAAAAAGTATCCAACAAGGACCCAGCTTCAGATGCTCGCAGCAGTGCAAGGTTGGCTTTGTGTGGACAGCCCGCTTCCAGCAGAAATCGGACCACGTCAACCTAAGGTTTCGGGTTTAGGGAGGGATTGGGGGGGGTTTAGGGTTTAGGGGGGAGTTTAGGTTTAGGGTTAGCCTTGAAGGACCATGTCAACCTGACGTAGGGATCTCAGTAGTTAGAATAGGGTTTGGGGGGGGGGGGGTATTTTCAAATAAAAAAATTATAAGGAACCCGAAAATAGCATAGGCACTTATCTATTGAAATAGGGTTTTGGGCTCCTCTATCGTATTTTTTGTACAAGGAACCCTAAGGAATAATATTGGTAACTATGCTTGCCGCCACAACGAAGCCGTAAAAACCCTAACCCATAGGCCCTGTAGGGCTTCACCAGAAGGAGATCCCAGCGCAGGATTGAGAGCCAAAGCCAAAAAGCTACAGGATTTTTCCTACCCTGCAGCGTACGATGCGAAGAGGTGAAGGAGATTGAAAGCCTAAACTCTAGGGTTTAGGGTTTAGGGTTTAAATTTAGGGTTTGGGGTTTAGGGTTTTAACCCCTGAACCCTAAGCCCTAAACCCCTAAACCCAAAACCCCTAAACCTTGCTTGCGACTGGCCGGGCCTAGCCACATTCCCATGTAAGGCAGCAAAGGCGAGCTCGTTCTCCGCTTCCCTTTGATGCTGGGAGCTGCTGATAGGCATCAGGATCAGCTGCAAATCCATCCTGGGGCTCTTCATGGAGGCCCGTTAACAGGGTGCAGGGTTTAGGGCTTGGGGTAGTTGTCCTTTCTTTACGATCTTACAATCAGAAATGGGGGTTCCCGAAAATAGGGAACCCTAATATAATACCCTAAATAGTAGGATCCTCATTATAAGGACCCCAAAATAAGGTACCCTAATGTTCGGAAAGTCCCAAATGGTGTTTTAGAGCGGCTCAGCATCGCTGCAGCTAGCTCGAACGAATCGTCCAACAGACGTCCATCGTGCCTCGGTGGCCCAACGGTCAAGGTTTAGGGTTTTGGGTTTAGGGTTTATTGCAACCAAAGTCCGTGCTCTTGCTCTGTTTCTTAAACGGAGGAACCTGATTAAGAAACCCTGGCCCTACAACCCCGATATACTATGGGATGAAGAAGCCTCACAAAGACCCCGGGTTCTTAATCAGGTTACTATAAGACTATATATAAAAAACATATATATATATATACATATGTATGTATATACATACATTGATTTGTTTATATCGTTCGACCGAAACCGCTATCACATGGGAGAGAAGGATGCCCAACAAGCTTCCCAGACGCATGAGCTGCTGCATGCAAACGGGAAAGCCGAGTGTCGACCGCACATACTGCTTCAGGGCCTTCACATGAACTTTAGGGTCACGGTTTAGGGCGTATAGGGTTTAGAGTTTAGGGTTTACGGTTAGGGAGGGTGTAGGGCTTACCTGTAACTCTCTTTGCCTACAGTGTAGCAGCCGTTACCCCCTTATTAGGAGGTAGAACCCATAAAACTGTAGGTAATTAGAGTCCCAGGTACGGCCCAGAACCTGGATGGTGAGCATTTTGGTGAGTGTTTGCAGGCTTTGCTTGGGAATTTTGGTGGGTGTACAGGTTGGCCTGTATTCTTTAGATACTGTGACTAATAGTCAAAACCTTATCCTACTGTTGATGATCCTGCATTACCTTTAAGGACCCTAAGCTATGGGAATTATGGTATGTTCCTTCTTATGGATAATGTAGGGTTTACATCATCAGCCGTAGGTCCTAGCAGCAGCAGCAGCAGCAGCAGCAGCAGCAGCAGCAACAACCAAAACAGCAGCAAGAGCACCAGGACAGGACTTGCTCTTTGTTGTGGGGTGGCCGCGGAGAGGACGCCAAACCCTCATAAACCCTAAACCCTCATAAACCCTAAACCCCTAAACCCTAAACCCCAAACCCTAAACCCTAAACCCTCAACCCTACACCCTCATGACCCTCTAAGCCGTGCAATACCCTTTGAGCCTGTCGATAATACGAATGAGCCCTGTGCTAAGGGCTATGGGTCCTGGGACGTGCTGGGTCCCTTGTTGGGGCCATATGAAAAATGATCATGTTTAAGCCTTATTCGGGTTTTAGTATAACGAACATGTAAATTGAGGATCATTTTTGAGCCTTATTCGGTTTTATAGTATGACAAACGTGTAAAAGTGAGTAAAATTGTATCCAACAAGGACCCAGACTTAGTAAGAATCTCTCTTCGGGGGCTCATGGGGCTTCATGTATGATAGCTCTAGGATGATCCACGGTCCACAGCAAGTCGGCTCATCTTCGGCGGCTCTGAGTCCCCTATCCTAAACGCAACCCGACTTAGCTGTTAGGTTCCAGCTACGGTTTCTGAGGCTTCCCGTGAGCCTCAAACCCCGGTCGAACTTTGAAGACCCTATAACAGGGACCCTAAACCCTAAACCCTAAATTAAACCCTGAACCCTAAACCCCAAACGTGGCCCAAAATCCAAAATTCTACAAAGCCCTATAACTCTCAAATAAGCCCCCACCACCCATATTGGAAGAACCCGAGTTGGACCAACTTGAAGCCCAAACCCTACTTTAGTAAACCTCCCCGCCTCTAAACAACCCAAAACCCTGAGCCCCTAAACCCAACATTATAGGGGCCTTCATAATTAGAACCAGGGTTTTGGGGCATAGAATACTATAACTATATAAATATACAGAGCCCCTCCTATCATTAATGGCCTCCACGCCGCGAGACTTCGCGTCATCCAAGACTTCCGCAGGTATGAGGGCCAGCTCCCGTCCCGATACGCCCCAAATCCGCACCATGACGAAAGTGTGTGGTTCATGGTTTAGGGTTTAGGGTTTAGGTTTTGGGGGGTTAGGGGCTTTAGGGGGTTTAGGATTTACGATAGGGGAATCGGGCTTTTTGTGGCTATAATAGGGTTTGGGATTCAGGGCCGACAATTTTGAAGCTTTGGGGGCCTGCACGGAGGTTTTTGTAGGACTCCGGTGGTTTCGGGCTCTTGGGTTCAAGGACGTTTGGGGTTTTGCAGTTGGAAGATTTAGCATGTTCTTTGCTAATAGGGCTTGGGTAGTTTGGGGCATCTCTTGCAAAATCCACGGCTCTAGCAGTCGCAGAGTGCAGGGTAGGAAGGCTTAAGCTGAGGCGGCGATGGTTGCGGTGTGGCTGCCGGAATCCCAAAACTCCCTAAACCCTAAACTCCCTGAACCCTATGGTCTGAGTGGTTCTGGTCCTTCGTTTGGGCTTGGGGCACTTGGGGTTCCGGGCTTCAGGAGTTCAGCTCCAGGTCCTGCGCATGACGGCCCGAAGCCGCGAAACCCCTAAGGGTTTAGGGTTTAGG